GTACTTCTTCCCAAAATTTAGTTCCAAATATATTTTTATCTAATTAATATATTTTTTAGAAATGAGAATTGAGCATTTCGTCTTGAGTAAAAAGCATACGCAAATTAATACATCTAATTTGTAATATATTTTCAAATATTTTTTTTGATATTTTGAAAACATTTTTCAAATATTTATGATATAGTTTTTCATAATTAAATTTTGTCATATATGTCTAATAAATTTTTTACAGTATTTACTTTTTAAATCTAAATTTGTAATATACATTTCACATATATTTTTTTTCATATCTTGGTAATATATTTTACTATATTGCTTAATTGTTGACAATTTTTGTTTTTTTTTTTTTTTTTGTACTATAAGTTTTATATATTTTGTAATTTGTTGTTAATAATTATCTAACTTCCTTCCCAAATTGAGTTGGAATTATATCTAATTTGTTATATACATTTCATATATATTTGTAATTTGTTGTTCATATATATTTTTTTATGTAATTGAGTTGGAATTATATTTTTTATATATTTTTCACAAATGGGAATTGTGGGGAATATTTTTGAGTACAACACGTGGCAAGGTGACGCCGACGTGTCAGCCGAGGTGCCACGTGTCTTGGTCGTTGTGCCGAGGTCATCTCGGCTTAGGCCGAGGTTGCCTCCGAAGATATCGGAAACCGAGATAAGCGGATAAGGGACAAGAGTCTAGAATGAAGAGGGAACTCAACTTGGATATGGACAAGAGTCCTAGATTGGGAGAAGACTTCAGTTTGGGTAAAGATAAGACTCTTAGAGAGTTTATCCTAATCTCACTGGAGAGTCCAGGTTAGCAGCAATCCGAGTCCATAGAAGTCAGGCTTCTATTGGGACTAGGTTTATGTTGGCTATAAAAGAGAGGCACCCCCATGGGTCTAAGGTATGCTTTTGATACTCAAGCTTGTGAGTTTAGTACTTGATTTATCTTTAAGAGATATACTGACTTGATCGTCGGAGTGCCCCCGGTGGTCGAAACCACCGCGGGATTCTTATATTTCTGTTGCAGGTCCGTCAGGTGCCATCTATTCGTCAGTGCTCTCCAGCTGGTTACTAAGCGGGCAGTGTGGTCGGAAAATCACCACACCAATTTGGCGCCGTCTGTGGGAAAGAAAGAAGAATAGATGGCTAATGACGAACAAAAGGACAGATTTGAGACAACGCTCCTGCTGGGAGTCAGAGACCTATCGATCTCGACGTTGAAGGAGGAGACAATAGCAACACAGAAACTCGTGACCAGAGTCACGGAGTGAAAGAAGCCGGCCAAGAAGGTGACGCACCAAAGACAACAGATCGAAGCAACGAAGAAGACCTCCAGGTATGGAAGGATAGATACCTGCGAGGAACGAAGACCCTTCCAGAAGGGATGCAAAACAGGGGGCATGAGCGCTCCCAAGGAGATAACATTCAAGTATAGAAGAACTCATCCTGAGTGAGCAGACCCGGATTTCAGATCCTGGATCCCGAATCCGAGAAGACATGATCTCAGCTTAGACAAGTAGGCTCGAGAAGCACGAGAGCTCAACCTAAGTGAGCAGATCCCGAATTCCAGATCCGGATTCTAGAAGACATGATTTCGGCCTAGATGAGTAGTCGAGAAGAGAAAAACTCAACCTAAGTGAGCAAATCCAAAGATCAGAAGACAAGATTCGACACTTTGAGTCCGCAGAAGGAATAACACAATGAGCAGATCTCAGATCCCAGAAGATAAAAAAGAAACACACAAGATCAGACTAAAGTGGCCAGAATTGAGAAGTTATGCTAAGGCCGAGGAAGACATGCCGGGAACAAAGGCGTCGAAACAAGAAAAGAGAAATGGCTCGCCGATGCGAGGCCAAAAATCAAACTCAGGTTGGAGCCAAGTAAGATCAATAGAGAAACCAGGCCGACAACTCAGGCGGACACAAGGTCAAAGCTACATGTATGATGAGAACCCAAGTGGATTTTAAGTTCACACTGGTGGCGTAGAGAAGAAGATGGTTTCCACTGTTGAATTTGTAGCAATTTTACAAAGTGGTTAAACCAATATGATGCTTAACTGAAGTAGCCGAGATGATACTTAAAAGTTAAGCCGACATAATGCTTAACCGAAGTTAAGCCTAATGATGTTAATCGATTTCTACAGAAGTCTAGAGGTACCGAAGTTAAACCGAGACATTTAATGCTAACCGAAGTTAAGCCGAGATGATGCTTAACCGAAGTTAAGCCCAGATGATGTTTAATCGAAAGTTAAACCGAGACAATGCTTAACAGAAGTTAAACCGAGACAATGCTTAACCGAAAGTTAAGCCGAGATGATTGCTTAACTGAAGTTAAGCCCAGATGAGTTTAACCGAAGTTAAACTGAGACAATGCTTAACCGAAGTTAAGCCGAGATGATGCTAACCGAAGTTAAGCCCAGATGATGTTTAACCAAAGTGAAACCGAGAGGATGCTTAACCGAAGTTAAGCCGAGATGATGCTTGAAGTTAAGCTGAGATGGTTCCTTATCTTCATTTGTTGAAATTTGTAGCAATTTACAAGTTGAAGTTAAGCCGAGGATGATTCCTTATATTCACTTTGTTGAAATTTGTAGCATTTTACAAGTTGGACTTAAGCTGATTCCTTATCTTACACTTGTTTGAAATTTGTAGCAATTTACAAGTTGAAGTTAAGCCGAGATGATTCCTTATCTTCACTTGTTGAAATTTGTAGGCAATTTACAAGTCAAGTTAAGCCAAGATTATTCCTTAATTCACTTGTTGAAATTTTGTAGCAATTTACAAGTTGGAATTAAAGCTGATTCCTTATCTTCACTTGTTGAAATTTGTAGCAATTTACAAGTCGAGTTAAGCCGAAATTATCCTTAATTCACTGTGTGAAATTTGTAGCAATTTACAAGTTGGAGTTAAGCTGATTCCTTATCTTCACTTGTTGAAATTTGTTAGCAATTTACAAGTTGGAGTTAAGCTTGATTCCTTATCTTCACTTGTTGAAATTTGTAAGCAATTTACAAGTTGAAGTTAAGCCGAAATTACTGTTTATCTTCACTTGTTGAAATTTGTAGCAATTATCAAGTCGAGTGAAGCCGAGATTATAGTTTTGCACACTTATAGCAATCTACAGGTTGATCCAACGAAAGAAGATGCTTAACACTTGTTGAAATTTGAGCAATTTACAAGTAATGTTAAGCCGACATGTGATCATCTGTTGAAATTTGCAGCAATTTTACAGGTTGAGGTAAAAGCTAAGTATATTGTTTAAACACTTGTTGAAATTGTGTAGCAATTTACAAGTAGATCATTGTTATAACTTTGAGAAAAATTTACATTATATGTTAACACTTGTTGAAATTTGTAGCAATTTACAGTAGGCTAGACCGAGATCACCGTTTAAACACTTGTTGAAAACTTGAGAAAAAGTTTGCAAAATTAACATTGAGTAGCATATGTTTCACACTTGTTAGAATTTATGAAAAGTTTGCAAGGTCAGTATCTTTGCGAAGTAAAAGTTTTATAGCTATTATACACCGAGGTATGTAACCCGACGAAAGATTGCAGCAAAGAAGGCAAAGTATGAAAGGCAAAAGTGTATATATATTATCTACATATATTAATAACAAATTACAAAATACATGAAATTTATATTACAAATATATTAAAAAAGAAGTTTATTAACAAATATATTAAAACTATATTAGACAGATATTGATAATATTTTAATATTTATATTACAAATTCGGCAGTTAAAAAGTAAAGAGTGTAAAAATTTTATTAAACATATATGACAAAATTTAATTATTAAAAAATATAGTACAAATATTTTCAAAAACCCATTTTCAAAATATCATAAAAAATATATTCAAAATATATTACAAAATAAATTTATTAATTTCAGTATATTTTTTACTCAATACGAAATGCTCAATTCTCATTTCTAAAAAATAAAATAATTAGATAAAAAATATATTTGGACCTAAATTTGGGAAGGAATGTAGATATATTATCTACATATATTAACAACAAATTACAAAATACATGAAATTTATATTACAAATATATTAAAAAAAAAGTTTATTAACAAATATATTAAAACTATATTAGAAAGATATTAATAATATATTAAAATAAATATTAGAATTTTTTATTTAAATAGTAAAGAGTGTCAAAAATAGATTACAAACTAAATTTGGGAAGGAAGGTAAATATATTAAAAAGTTATTACAAATATATGACAAAATTGGGTATATTAAAAAAAATATTACAAATATATTAAAACGATGTTAAAATCATATTAAAATATAAATTTGTGTTACTCTTCGTATCTGTTCATGTTGATTCATGTAAATTTAATTTATATTAAAGCGTAGCATGGCGTCGTTCACCTCTACTGCAACTTCCAGTACATGGCCACGACGAATGTGTGCCTGTGGACATGGCCCGTGTATTGTTAAGATTTCCAGGTCCACCAAAAATCCAAGGCGTTCCTACTTTGTCTGTCCCCGCCCTGTGGTGAGTGACCCAATCTTTACCGGTCATAACTTTATGAACATTAACAACCCATGAAACTAATAGTTCCATAATTTTCATTCATCAGCCCTGTGTAAGTTGGATTGGCTGGTGTGAAGAACGAAGGCAAGAGAACCAAGGCTATGCGTCACCCGAAGATGAAATTGCCATGCAATTGCGGGCTGATGTCATAGACATTCAACAATCCTTGCGTGCCCTTAAGACCATTGTGTATGTGCTCTGCATTGTCATTGTCATTTTGTTCCATGCAATTGCGGGCTGATGTCATAGACATTCAGCAATCCTTGCGTGTGCTTAAGACCATTGTGTATGTGCTCTGCATTATCGTTGTCATTTTGTTGTGCCGTATGTAAGCGTCGTTACCATGTTCTTAGTATGTACAAAGACTGGTTGTCATTTTGTTGTGCCGTATGTAAGCACCGTTACCATGTTCTTAGTATGTACAAAGGCATTAGTATGTCTTGAATATGTTGTTAGTATGTAGTGAGTATGTTTGTAGTACGATGGTATTATGTTGTCGCATATGGGAGCCGTAATACTAACTATCATATTTTTGTCCACTACTAACTTCCATGGAACCTGTGTACATACGTAAAAAATGTTTTCAATGGGTATATGCAAATTTATCTTCAGCATCATATATCTCTGTTTGTTGTTTTTAATGTGTCATCTGTTGTGCGTGTGTATATAACAACCAAATTTGTGATGTTAATCTTTTGTAACCATACATTAGTAATGGCTTCCACACGTACTTCGCCTCGTAACCACTCGAAAAGCAAAGGCGTTGTCACTGACAAGTCAAGCAGTCTTGAAGAGACACAAAATCAGTTAAGCCACAAGGCGTCATGGGACAGTAACTCAGTCCGAGTTTTCCTCCAGTTGATTGCAAATGAGATTAGTAAAGGAAATCGCCCATTCTTAGTCTTCAGCCAAGCAGGGTACAAGTCATTGGCAAGGAAATTTGAGAAAAAAATAGGAAAAAAACATGGACTGAAACAGTTGAAGAATAAGTACATGACCTTGAAAAAAGAGTGGCAAGCGTGGACAAAGTTGATGGATTCAAGCAAGGGAGTGTCCGGGATAGGCTTTGACTATGACATCGGGTTGTTTCAGGCACCTGACGAGTGGTGGGACAAGATGGAATCAGTAAGTACATGTACAAACAAGTTTTATATTTGTCATTTACTGATACATTTTTTACTTCTTCATTTAACTTCAATAGAATTTATTTATATGAAATATAACGTCTGCCTCTTTCATACATCTATATTTCTACAGATCAACAAGGCGTGTGCGAAGTTCAGGAAAAAAACTTTGGAACATCGTGACTTGATGGAGACGGTCTTCATGGGGGCATCAGCTACTGGGAAGCATCATTGGACCCCAGGAGAGAACCTTCCCGAACCTACTGAGGACTCATCTGATTCAGTGCGTAGTTTGGGTGTAACGCCCTCAAAATAATAACATTAAACCCATTAAATACGACATGCATTTACATATAAACTAACCACATTCCTTTATTTCATTGAGTTTCATTACATAAGTATTACATGTTAACATCAAAACAAAATGCCCTACGGGCTTACAGCTTTCCAAGTTAACACTTGGTTACAACAAAAGAGTACTAACTCGTTTACACATTAAGCCCTTGGCTTGAAGTTACATGTAACACATCAAAAGTAAAACAACTACACTATGTCCGCCTCTAGCCTCCCAAGCTATGTCCTTGGAGGTGGCATGCTTCCTGTACCTGAAAATGATATTCCCATATAGGGTGAGCCACAGCCCAGTAGAAATGCACTAAACCAACCATGGACAATTCTAAAACATTAGCAATTGATAGTTGGTCAACACTGATACAATCACATATATAACATATTTATGTCAACGACTTACAAGTCCCAATTACTTTTCATTTTCCCTTTTTCAACAGATAAGCATGCTAGCTCTATCATCATTTCCACAGATATGTATAAAAACTATATCTCACAGATTATCAAAATATATTACAACATAGATTTATTAATTTGAGTACGTAATCGTGTTCATGTTCATTCATGTCAATTTACTTTATATTAAATCGTAGCATGGCGTCGTTCACCTCTACTGCAACTTCCAGTACATGGCCAGGACGAATGTGTGCCTGTGGATATGGCCCGTGTATTGTTAGGATTTCCAGGTTCACCAAGAATCCAGGGCGTTCCTACTTTGTATGTCCCCGCCCTGTGGTGAGTGACCCAATCTTTACCGGTCATAACTTAATGAACATTAACAACCCATGAAACTAATAGTTCCATAATTTTCACTCATCAGCCTTGTGTTAGTTGGATTGGTTGGTGTGAAGAACGAAGCCATGAGAACCAAGGCTATGCGTCAGCCGGAGATGAAATTGCCATGCAATTGCGGGCTGATGTCATAGACATTCAACAATCCTTGCGTGTCCTTAAGACCATTGTGTATGTGCTCTGCATTGTCGTTGTTATTTTGTTGTGCCGTATGTAAGCATCGTTACCATGTTCTTAGTATGTGCAAAGACGTTAGTATGTGTTGAATATGTTGTTAGTATGTAGTTAGTAAGTTTGTAGTACGATGGTATTATGTTGTCGCATATGGGAGCCATAATACTAACTATCATGTTTTTGTCCACTACTAACTTCCATGGAACCTGTGTACGTACGTAAAAAATGTTTTCAATGGGTATATGCAAATTTCATCTTCAGCATCATATATCTGTGTTTGTTGTTTTTAATGTGTCATCTGTTGTGCGTGTGTATATAACAACCAAATTTGTGATGGTAATCTTTTGTAACCGTACATTAGTAATGGCTTCCACACGTACTTCGCCTCGTAACCACTCGAAAAGCAAAGACGTTGTCAGTGACAAGTCAACCAGTCTTAAAGAGACACAAACTCAGTTAAGCCACAAGGCCTCATGGGACAGTAACTCAGTCTGAGTTTTCCTCCAGTTGATTGCAAATGAGATTAGTAAAGGAAATCGGCCATTCTTAGTCCTCAGCCAGGCAGGGTACAAGTCGTTGTCAAGGAAATTTCAGAGAAAAACAGCAAAAAAGCATGGACTTAAACAGTTGAAGAATAAGTACATGAGCTTGAAGAAAGAGTGGCAAGCGTGGACGAAGTTGATGGATTCAAGCAAGGGAGTGTCCGGGATAGGCTTTGACTATGACACCGGTTTTGTTTTAGGCACCTGACGAGTGGTGGGACAAGATGGAATCAGTAAGTACATGTAGAAACAAGTTTCATATTTCTCATTTACCAGTACATTTTTTACTTCTTAATTCAACTTCAATAAAATTTATGAATATGAAATATAACGTCAACCTCTTTTACAAATGTACATGTCTGCAGATCAACAAGGTGTGTGCGAAGTTCAGGAAGAAAACGTTGGAACACCGTGACTTGATGGAGACGGTTTTTATGGGGGCAGCAGCTACTGGGAAGCACCATTGGAAAACATGGACTAAAACAGTTGAAGAATAAGTACATGAGCTTGAAAAAAGAGTGGCAGGCGGGGACAAAGTTGATGGATTCAAGTAAGGGAGGGTCCGGGGTAGGCTTTGACTATGACACCGGTTTGTTTCAGGCACCTGACGAGTGGTGGGACAAGATGGAATCAGTAAGTACATGTACAAACAAGTTTCATATCTGTCATTTACAAGTACATTTTTTAGTTCTTCATTTAACTGCAATACAATTTATTTATATGAAATATAACGTCTGCCTCTTTCATACATCTATATTTCTGTAGATCAATAAGGCGTGTGTGAAGTTCAGGAAAAAAACTTTGGAACACCGTGACTTGATGGAGACGGTCTTCATGGGGGCATCAGCTACTGGGAAGCATCATTGGACCCCGGGAGAGAACCTTCCCGAACCTGCTGAGGACTCATCTAATTCAGTGCGTAGTTTGGGAGCCCAGCCATTTGCTGATCCGATACCCGCAGGAGTACAGGACGTGGATTCTGATACTTCACTGGAGCATGTTCCGATTGAAAAGGCAAAAAGGAGAAAGACGCCATCAACAAGTGTTTCAAAGTTGAAGAAGGGAACAAGTGGTGCGTTCGTTATTGCGGAAAGCATGAACAGAATGACAGATGTGGTGCGTTCGAAGAATTAGCAGGTCACGGTAAGGCACCTCACAGGCAACGAATCGCTGTACACTATTTCCGAGTGCATGCATAAACTGAGCAGTATTCCATTCCTGATTGCTACACCGTTATTCCACTTCGCCTCCACACTTATGGATAACACCGATTACCGGGAGGTCATGATGTGCCAGCATGATGACGACCATATCATTGGATGGCTTACACAGAAGCAGCTCCAGTGTACTGCGTCGGCGCCTTTTGCAAACCTGTTTGGGGGTCACCGGATGTGATGTAGCGGTGTTACGAGTGTTGAAGATGCATGTCCTTCTCTTCCTTTTTAAAACTTTGACTTATGGTATTGTTGGCACTGTACTAAAACAGGATGGTGGTGTGTGCATGTTTTCATTATGTCATTTTTGTTTTTTTATTACTAGCTACGGGCAGCAACAAGTTTTAGGTAAGTGCATGGGTTGACGGAACGGAAGCATGGTTGTGCTTCATTTTTGGGAAATGAATGGGATGTTTATGTTATAATATTTTCTGTGGGTATGTTTAAGACAGGGAATTACGTTTTACTTGCACGCTTTTGAATGCCTATATGTCGCAAGTTCATTTGTTAGTTTAGTTTGCTGGCTAGTTTTGTGGTTGTTACCACCATGGCCCCCCTGTAAAGCATAAGTTGAACAGCCTCTTTTTTTTTTGTGCAATTCATATGATCATGCGTTCCAAATGACATTGGTGACGGCATTACTTTGATTAAAAACAATGTCGGCATTTTCTAATTGCAAACTTCAATAAAATTTAAGTCAATGAATCACGTGCCAACTAATTGAAAGGCTGCCACTCTTGGAGGTTTCGCATCAACGAAGACGCGATGAATCCCTAGGATGGAAGCAACCATGATGAAATAACGGAAATGCTTAATCAAATGGCGGTCCAGGTGCAACAAGAACAGAATTGCACATTTCTACAAGCATGCCAGTTGGCGACAGAATGGTATGAAAAACACATAAATAAAACACCGTTTCGCACTTCTATACTAACCGGGAATACATGGATATGCGAACTAGATGCGGGGCATATGGGTCAATTTGAGGAAAATGTTTGCATGCCGAAGGAAGTTTTTGCCGCATTGTGTGAGACATTAGTCAATGATTTTGGGTTACAAGTCCCGCAACGTCCCCATGGCTTAGCTGTTGAAGAAAGCGTTGCGATGTTTATCCATGTGTTGAAAGGGAAGCAAAATCGGGAAATCCAAGAACGGTTCCAACATTCCGGGGAGACTGTCGAGGCACGTGCATAACGTATTAACTTCCATGAAAGAGCTCACTGTTGTTCATTGCCGGCCAACATACAATCAGCATCGTATACATCCATACGTGCGGTCTAGACGGAAATACCTACCGTTCAAGGTACTTCTGAAAAAACATGATTGACATATAAATGAAGACAATATATTTTGTTTTTGTTATTATCTGCACGTGACGCTTTTATAAAAACGAAATACTTGTTACCCACTTACGCAACAAAACAATTTATCCATGTTTGCAGGACTGCATTGGCGCAATAGACGGAACACATGTCAGTGCATGGGTTACGGGGCCAAATACGGCAACATATTTCGGTAGGAAATACTGTCACACACAAAATATAATGGTCGCTGTCGATTTTGACATGTGTTTCATATTCATTTCTTGCGGATGGGAAGGAAGTATGCATGATAGTCGCATATTCAACGAGATACTAACAAATGACAACGTCCCCTTCCGACATCCTGACGAAGGTAACACATGGTCATGTTATTAGATTTGTTAACAAATACTTATTTCCTGACAAAGTGTTATATGAAAATGACGCAGAATGTTGGTTTTGGTGTCATACATTGTCGTCATGTCTGCAGGCAAATATTATCTTGTCGATTCTGGCTATGCAAACCGGATTGGTTACTTAGCACCATTCAAAGGCCACCGTTACCACCAACAAGAATTCCGACGTATTGCATGAAACGCGATGGCAAACACGCCAAGGGAATTATTTAACAAAGTCCACTCGTCCTTACGCAGTGTCGTGGAACGCACTTTCGGTGCCTGGAAAAATCGATGGGGGTTTATTCGAGACATGCCTCGGTATGACTTTGCAAATGTGCAAGTTCAGTTAGTAGGTGCGTCAATGGCATTACATAATTATATACGGCGAAACACAGGTAACCCAACAACTGTTCAGCCAATCTGTGACGAGGAAGAGGCTATGACAATAGTAAATGCCATACCAGAAGTTGAACATGACGAGGATGGTTTAATGGTTGGAGCTGAGGACCCCCATATGGCATTGGTCTGCCTTCACATACGTGACAAATTATGTTACATGCGTAATAACGGAATGTTAGGAAATATATAGTTGTAGACACCCCATTTTTGACCGTCCTTAAGACTCAGACGTCACCGATTGAGCGCTTGGTGATGTTGCATATCGTGCTCGTTCAGAGGTTTCAGAGTCTCGGCTGCGAGCCTTGCCTCCGGACTTCCGGACCCTTTCATGCTTTGCCTCGGTTTGCGAACCAGGCTCTATTTTCTCTGTTTTCTCTTCCCGAAGGGAGGGAGAGGTCTTGTAGATCATCTTTCAGTGGTCGTAGGCTACGTTTCGTGGTCGTAGGCCATTTTGCCCGTTTGGAGTCCGATTTTTTATTTTTCGGAGCCGTTGGCTGTGTGCCTCGGTTCGGGACCGCTTGACCACCTCCGTTTGCTCCGGTTTTTGGCATGCATCTTATTTGCTCCCTTTTGAGGGACACTGTGGCTCGAAAAACCAACTTCGTGGTCGAACACCACTTCCGGTCCTAACAGTCAGTTTTCGGGGCATCGGGCTGCGCGTTTCGGCCCCCGAACCTTCATTTTGCATCGGTTTGAGTTCATTTTTTCGCAGGGACCTCTGTTTCATTGTTAGAAAGGTCGTAGAAGGCTGGGAGGCTAGCAATTGTTCCGACAACTAGTTTTATTCCTCCGCCGCCCTCTGTCGCCTGTTTTTTCTCACTTGAAAGCCAATGTTGACCATCCTAAAGCCACTTTTTCTTGCCCCAAACCACATATTTGTGTTGTACACACCTGGGAGGCTACCAATATCACATGGCCGGCCAGTAATTATGTGTGACCCTTTTGAACCCCTCCTAAAAGTGGCCTTTTCTCTCTCCTGGTTCATTTTCTCCAGTTTTTGATTGCATGGTTGTGTTGTGCACACATGGGAGGCCCTCTTTCTGGGATGGCCGGCCACTAATCATGATTGATCCTTTTGACCCTTGGCCGGCCGGCCATGGGGAGAGCCGGCCGGCCACCTAAACCCTAGATAACCAGCAGGCCTTGATCCTCTCTCCAGACACATTACAGAAGTGTATTCTGTTTCCCCCCAGAATTTGTATCCGGGAGGCTGCACTTTTGGGGGGAAACTTGAATTCTTCCCCCTCATTTTCCCCCCCTTTTCTCCCCTTCTTTTGCCTATATAACAGCAGCTCCAGCTCCCATCTGAGGGTTACCAAAATTTTCCCTAAGCCTCTTGTATTGTATCTCCCTCTCCTTCTCTTCCAAGCATCAAAACCTCTCAAGTCCTACACTATTTACCCTACACCCCTTAGCACAAGGCCCCCATCCTCCATTCCAGCAGCTTGAGGCTGATTTCTAGAAGTGAAGGACTCCCAAACTTGGCTCAAAGGTTGTTGGAGCATTGGTTTACAAGGGTGAGTCACTTTCTTCCCTTTTCTAGCCTTCTTTTGCATGCTTTCTAAGCCATACTTGCTTCCATTTTTGGGCTCCGAACCTAACTGAAAATAGTATTATTTTGAGCTCCTTTTCATGTTTTTTTAAGGGCCTCTCCCTGTTTGAGGCTTCCTTTTTATACTTGCTTCTTTACCTCTCTTGTATGCCTCTATATTGCATAGTATTTTTGTCCTATTTGTAAACTGTTTTGAGCTTGGTTATAAACTGTGAAGTGGCTTATTTTGAGCCCTTCTTCAACATTGTTGAAGGGATCTTCA